TTCGTTCCCAGCGCCCGTGGGGGTCGGTACGTGCTCCCCTCCGGTGGCCCGTGATGAGGGTGGCAGTGAAGCCAGGCATCCGTCATCTGGGTTCCAGCCCAAATTCCACTCGTCTTTTTTGTTTTGCTGTGTAACTTTTTCAGATGACTCCAGGTCTGATTCTGTTGGTTTTAATTTTTCAACTTGATGATTTGGGGGATAAAACTTTATCCTGGGAAGCAAAGCTGCCTGACGCTCCAGCACAGGCATTCAGCGTACGGTGGAGGCTTGTTTTGTTGCAGACGAGGAGATACCGTGCTTAACAATCCTGGCCTAGACCCGGAGAATTGCTGACGGTGATTCTGCGTTCTGGCCTCCCTGACAATTAACAAGATGATAGTCACTAGACTTACGCTTCTGCTGTCTTGCCAAGCAAGTACGGATCCACGTAACTTTCAGAGAAGCTGAGAGAATGTGTTGAATTTTACTGGTTTTGCTGTTACCAGGTATTTTAAGACCACAGAATAAACCTGCAAGCGCGTTGTGCAGCGTGGCATGAAATACTGAGAGTCCTGGAAACACCTTGCTTGTGAAAGAGGCTTTACCTAATTGCAAAATTACAAAAAGCTGTGTTCAATCCGTGGTTTAGACAAAACAGAAGGGTAACCAATGCTTCAGGAAATGCATTGTTGCAGAGAGGTTGAAATAAACAATTTAAATATGTGTGGTTGGAAGTAAAGGAAAAGTAGGAGCAGACATTCCAGAAGCTTTTAAAGTTTTTTTAGTGCTAAGCAATGCTTGCAGCTTATTTGGGTGTTTGGGTGCCCTCTAAATGATGAATGAGCAAGCTGGATGTTGCACTTGTGCAGATAACTTAAATCTTGATTGTTTTGATGTTTACTGGGACGCTCAGGGAGCACTGGTATGTTACCACATGGCATTTTATTTCTGCAGTTATGGAGAAGCCAGAGAAAGTACAAATTACACAAATGCTGAATATTGGAAAAGTATGACTAGCCTGGGAAGCTGAGGGGTCTCTGTTGCCCTGAAGAGTGACTCGTTTTATGTCATCCTGTCCTGAGGTAGTTTCACGAAGCGTGTGAGGAGACACTGACATGATAAAACTGCTTTTTTGTATTAAGGAGCAGCTAAGGCACTCGTTCTGAATAGAGACAAAACACCTTGATACCTAAACGAGGCAAGGCTGGCCTAATGAATGTTTTATTATTTGATGAGAGTGAAAGTGGGTAGTTTGAGTTACGCTGTTGGAGTAAGGGTAGTATTCCTGACTGCCGCTGGTTTACTCGGTAGCAAGGATTTACTCTTCTTTAGAATATGTGTAATTACTTGACTGCCGTGGTGTTGAAGCCTAATTACGTGTTGTAGAAAGCAGTCTGTGATCCTCTAGTGAATGGGTGGGTGACTGTTTTCCTTCCTGTAGTGTGAGGAAATCGTGTGTTATGTAATTATTTTGTCTGATTTCTGGTGGTACGAGCAATTGCTGTGCCACTGCTCTCAAGTATTCGGGATACATTTATTCGTTCTTAGGTTGACTAGTTTATAAAATATATCAACATAACTACTTTAAACTTGTAAGCACCATCCTCAGTATTCCAGTTAGAAGCTTCACTCTCTAATAGGTAACTTTGTTAAAAGCTTAACCTGTTTTTTTTTTTCCCCATAATGTTGCTTTTTAACTGAGTGTAAAATTAAAAAAAATGCATAAAATCTCTGGAGTCTGCCTTCTTGCAATATGTAGTAGTTTTTAATCTTTAGTTAAAAATAGTGTCCCTAAAATTACATTAATTATGTAACTTAATTTTGAACATGAAAAACTCTCTCAGTTGATTTGTATGAAAGAACACATTTTCTAAAAACATGTTCACCTGGTGTATTTCTGAGCCTCTAATAATACAGCTCCTGACTGGATCCGTGTGGGAGGGGACTGTTTCTAGGTGTCCATTCCTTAAGTTTGTCATGCAAATTGGGTGTGTTCCCTTGAAGCAATGGTTTTATAAGTGAAAGAGATGGCATGTTCATGATGAACTATTTGACTCTTCAGAACTGATTGGATTCTTTGCCAAGAAGTTTGGCACATGTTTTCTGTTAGGAAGTATCCTGATTAAATTTCAGCTATGACTGATTTTCTTGCTCTCCTTAAACTTCATGTTAAGTTGCCTGCCTTAATTTCTTTTTTTTTTGTTTCTTTAATAGCAAATTTCTTATCTATGCCTGCCTGCTGCTTTTTTCTGTGTTGCTCTCTCTGCGTCTGGATGATAAAATTCAGTGGAGTTACTGGGCCGTATTTGCTCCAATATGGCTATGGAAGTTAATGGTGATTGTTGGTGCCTCAGTGGGAACAGGAGTATGGGCCCGAAACCCACAGTATCGGTAAGTTGAGGATATTTATTTGACAAACCACATATGTGTTTTCCATAGTGAATCAAATTCATAAATATTTTTTTAATAATGTATAAGATACAGCATCCAGAAGGTTTGTTTTCAATATATTTAAATAATTATATTAACCTATAGTGTATGCCAACAGCTTTATGCCACTATGGGTGTCTTAATCATAGTTGCAACGGTTTATCACAGGCTTCAGCAATATTGTCTTTGGGAAGCTAAAACTTCTCATGGAGTGATTTTTTTAGTGCTTTTCTGGTAGAACGTTGGGAATTCTTTGCTTTAGTAGAAGCTGTATAGAAGTATGTATCTTCATATACACTATGAATATACTATATTTAATTGAATTATTTTCTAAATCAGTTTCCTAAAATGTACAGATCAGCCTGAAGAATGTTGATTTAGGTTTTTTTTTCTCCTTGGTGTGCATATAACCTCAGTGAACATACAGATGAATATTCACTGATTCTTGAATATGCATGAACATAGGGATTTTTTTCAGACTTCAGTTGCTGTTTTTTAAAGAACTATTCAAGTAGTTTAATACACTAATATAGGCAAACATGTAACACTTGCAAAGTAAGATGTAAGTGGGAACAAATTTGTAAATTTCATTTTTGTGAAAGTTGTTTAAAGTTGATATTTTGTCAGTCTAGAATAAAATAACTTCAAAGCTTTAAATACATTAGTGTTTACTGTTTTGGTAGTCCAAGTAGGATGTGAATTTGAACATGCTGGGGGAGGCGGGGGGAGAACCACCTTAAATGAAGTGCAATAAATTCAGTCCTCTTTTCTGTCTATGGTGAATATTCAATTAAAAATTTTGTGCAAAAGTCTCATTCTGATACACTGTATTGTGTGGTTCAGGTCTTGTTTGCCCCTTCTAGTAGTGGTTCTACTTGTGCAGGAAAAAGGATGGTTTCTCTGTGTAGGCTGTTGTTTTTACAGGCATTTTAGTTTTTAGTCACAGGTAGTATTCTGTTGCAATATGCTGATTTTGGTGAGTAAAAAAAATCTGGGGAAAGATGTTGATTCAATGAAAGCTGGTGCAGGGACCAAACAGATAATTTTGGACTTGGCTTGTTTCCCAACAGCCTGCTTGATATCCGAGTATTTATGCGGTGGCAAAGAAGTCTTGTTTTATCTGCACAGCTATGGAATCCTTAGAACATTTTCAAGTTGTAAAAATCCCACTGCCTCTTTGAGTAAAATACTTGACATCTGCAGCTTTATCAGCAAGAAACGGTGTTGGGTCATCAGGAGCGTTGTTTAATAGTGGTTATTTGGGCATAATGTGTTTATTAAAAACAAGTGTTAGTATCTGAAACTGAACAGTTGTAAACGAAGTGTCTCAGGATGTTTGCAGCTTGTGCTTTCCTATTGCCAAGTACACTGAATTCTTCTTGTTGTCTCTTCAGAGCAGAAGGAGAAACCTGCGTGGAGTTCAAAGCGATGTTAATTGCAGTAGGCATCCACCTCCTGCTGCTGATGTTCGAAGTTCTGGTGTGTGACAGGATCGAAAGAGGAACCCATTTCTGGCTGCTGGTCTTCATGCCATTATTCTTCGTGTCTCCAGTGTCGGTTGCAGCGTGTGTGTGGGGATTCCGACACGACAGGTCTCTGGAGGTAACGTTTCGTTATGTGTGCAGTCGGGGGCGATGCAAGACTCTGTATCCATTTGGTTACAGTTCCATCTCTCAGTAAAGCGTAGTATGGACAACTGCATCAGCTGAATTGTTTATTTGCACTGACCTGCTAGAGTGAAAAATCAGGATCCTGAGAGTAATAGAATTTTTTCTAGTATCTTCTAGTTGGTGTTTTTTGACTCCCTGTATTAGGAATTTCAAAGTCATTTACCCAAGAGATCATAGTATACAGTCATGTATGTTAGTGAAAAGTAGCACGTAGTGTCTGCCTTCTGAGAAATATTACATTTCAAAGATGCATTATATACCTTCATGTTTTTTAAAATAGAAAATATTTCTAACTTACACTCAAGAGCTTCAATTAGTCTTCTCAGATAATAATTGTTTGATCTTTGAAATTCCTACCCACGTAGGGTTGCCCATGGACTTTAGAAACAGAATCTTGCCAAGTCTGATGGTGTTTCATTACTTTACTTTGTTCAAGCTAGACACAAGCTTGATTTTTTTTTTTAAATATTATTTAAAAATATAATTTAGGGTTAGTTCTCATAGTGGCAAGCGGGACACACAAAAAGCTTTCATTAACTTTTTGAATTAGTATTGCTTTTCTGTATTGCCTCAAAAAACAAGTGTCTTCAGTGTCATTTGAAATAAATCTCAATTATACAGTAATTGATTGGATTTGGATGTCATCTTCCACTATTCTCTGTATTTCTTTTTCCCCCTAGATAGATCTGAGACTTTTACATTGGACTGTTGGTAGTCAAGTCCATGTAACTTTCATCTTTATGTTACTGCAACTACTAAACAATATCTTTAAAGAAAAATTTTCAAAATTTTAAATTGAAGGACTTTTCACTACTCGTTAATTCTAGCAGTTATTTCTTATCTGAAGAAAATAGTCAAAGTTGTTTTCTGATGCTTTGTGGAGTCAGAAAAGTCCTTTGACAGATTCTTTGATTATCTTGGAAATAGCTTTCTAATACTGAGAGTTAACTAATGTATTTTCTTTTTCTAGCTGGAAATCTTGTGTTCAGTCAATATTCTGCAGTTCATATTTATTGCACTCAGACTAGACGAGATCATCAGATGGCCATGGCTTGTAAGTAACAGTTGTTCTTATCCTTGTTTAAATGCTGAATTTCATAAAGATATTTGCTATAAGGAACAGTTAATGTATGGTCAGAGTCCATGATCGCATTTTTGCTCGCTTAACAATCCTTCACGGAAGGCCTGGCATTTCATTCAGTGCTCGTGGGAAACAGGCTGTTCTTTGGGCATTTTTGTCTCTCGAGGCAGAGGGATGTGCCATCAACTGCAATTAATCTCTGATCAGTTGTTGAAAGATAAATCCTAACCAAAAATTTCCAGTGGGAACACTAAACTAGCTGTGAAAATGACTGGTGCGTTAGGGAATGTGTTGGTAAATATGATCTGGTAAATAACTAGTTTCATTTGTTCCGTTACCACGCATGTAAATCCACTTACTGTGGAAGTGGTCACTGTCAAAACTGCTGAGATCTCCTGTCCCGAGTGCCTTCAGAATACAAAAGCACTATTTCTGTGTCTGGGCTTTTGGAAACTATTATAAAACTGATAATCTGGCATGATTTTGACTGTCCTTTCTATTTTCCAAAAAGCTAGGAAAAGGATCTAAGTGTTTGAAGTAAGGTATCCAGTGTAGAAAATACTTGCTAAAATCCATTTCAAGTACTGTTTGAGCCTACATAAAATTGCAGAAGTCTTATTAAAGTTGAACTACATTGACATAATTTTAAATTGTTTCAGCTTGACGAGGTTTGCAAAACTCACTGAGGAAACTCCAAGAGCTACTATGGCTCATAACAGTGCGTGTGATTTGGGAACCTTTTGTGTTAGAGATATTCACTAAGAATCATTAGACTTCTGTTTCTTTTTTCTGTTTAGACTTCTCATGTGCCTTGCTTTATTTAAAAACCTGCACCTGAAACAAATCAAACTGATAAAAGTGTCACTGTCAGGGCAGGGGAAAGCAGTTAATTTCTCTTTCTTTCAGGTGGTTTGTGTTCCGCTGTGGATCTTGATGTCCTTTCTGTGCCTAGTAGTGCTCTATTACATTGTGTGGTCTGTTCTGTTCTTGCGCTCTATGGACGTGATTGCTGAGCAAAGGAGGACACACATCACGATGGCTGTCAGCTGGATGACAATCGTCGTTCCCCTGCTCACATTTGAGGTAGGAAAAAGCATCAGGAGTTTTAGGTATCCTGTTCTTTTTTCAGTGAGGGATGAATGTTGCTCTGTCTCTTTTTTGAACTTACTAAATTAAGAACACTGCGTTTTGTTTTGGCATAAAATATTAATGGCAAATATGAAAGAAAACCAAGAATTCTATGTTTCTTTAAAGTTTTTTGAGTAAAATATGTATCACATCTGTAATATAACTACATGTTTCTGTGGAGGCCAGTTTTCAAAGATGCGTGAAGTTAAACATATGAGATCGGTGTATGTTTTAATAAGCTTAAAAGTGGGTATTGCAATTAAACTGACACGTGGAATTTTTTTGCCGTTTAGATCTTACTAGTACACAGACTGGACGGGCATAATTCTTTTTCTTTTATACCCATATTTGTTCCTCTCTGGCTTTCACTCATAACTTTAATGGCGACAACATTTGGACAAAAAGGAGGAAATCACTGTAAGTATTTAAAATCATGGAAACAGCTTGAAACTCAAGGCTTAAATGTATTTTTATGAAGATGAGTATTTTACAAAAGGGCTTTTTTGTGTATGTTCTGTTATGAAATAATTCAGTTGTGTCTGTTACTATTGTTTTCAGGTGACTTTAGTGAGTTTTCAGTGTTTATATATAGTTTCTTGCTTTTTCTTATTCCTTTAAGAGCATAACTTCTGCTCAAACTCAACTAGAAATATTGATGGGATTTTAATTGTAATTTAGCCTTTTATCCTCCCTTATTTCCATGGATTCCGTTCTTATGGGATGTGACTGGATCTTTCTACTCTGGGTTCTGAAAGTAGTGTAGCACCTACCATTTTTAATTAAAGCTTGTTCTGGTAGCCTGAACTAGTATTCTCTTTTCTCTTTGGCCAAATAATGCTCTGTGCTGCTTAGTTGTAACTTCAGTTGCCTGAGTCGCCAGTGTAGACTTACTAGGCTTTTATCCCCACTACAACTAGCCCTGCCAAAAGGAGTGTTTGCACTTCCAGCCATCTAATGTTACTGACCCAGTGCGATGAGCAGCTCTTCCCATCCACGTTGCAGTTCATGTTCCTTGTTGACAAGGCAATAAAATTTGTTAGGACTTTTCAGAGTTGAAAGGAACCAGCTGTGATGTTTGTTACATAAACTCCAGTTTTGGTCCAATTATGAAGTATATTGAGAATTTCTTTCTTTGGTCATGACTAAGCTTATCTCCACACATTTAGTTTACTTTTATGTTGGTTTTGTATGGAAAATTCTTACTTTTTTATTTTAAATGCATGCCCTCAATAATTTATGGCCAAATTAGTCTTTTGGAAAGCCACATGTTGTTTTATCTTCCGTAAATAACTTCTCTTAATATACTAAATATACTACATATAGTATAACAACATATATTATATATGTTGTTATACTATATGTAGTATACTTTACTAACTTCTGCTAGTAAATATTTATGTAAATTTTTACAAAAGACGATTCACCCGAAGTGAGCCTCAGAAGACTTGCATGAAAATCCACCTTTAAAGCGCTAAGCCAAATAGACCAGTTGGCTGTGAAGTGTAATTTCTGCAAAAAGATGGGTTGAAGGGATCTTCCCTGGCAAATGCGTAACACCTCGCTTTAGTTCAGCGTGAAAGCTGTGACTTGGGCAGCCTGTTCCTTTTGACACTGGCCTTTGCTGTTGGTTGACAGGAGTGCTGTCTGCTGAATTACAAAGTGCCACTTACTTACATACTCTCTGTCCAAGTCTTTGCATGTAGCAAAATACAGGACAAGGGCAGAATGGGTACTGTTTTCTAATCAAGCACTGGTAATACCAAGGGTGAGATATTCCTGGCATGACATGGTATTTGGCTAACAACACAAGTATTTGGGGAATACTGAATACATACATGTCTGCCTATGCCATCACATTCCCTCTATTGTAACCTGTATATATCAAACAAAAGTTGGCATCAATGTCTTGCCATGTGGCACAGATGGCTTTCATTGAGATGCAAAGTATTTGTGTTCTTTCTCTGTGTACTGATGTGACCTGACAGTGCTTCACATGTCAAATGAAACGGTTTCTTGCTGTGGCAGTATTGCTGTAACTGGTACGTATGGATATACACACACAGATGTGCATATTCAGACATGCAAATAGATATGTATATCTGTGTGTATATAATCTGAACTGTAACGTTATTATGTGATAGGCGTAAGTAACACACTGAGAAGCAGCACTAACAAATTTTAGATTGTTCATATGCAAACAATCAAGAGAACTTAAACAAGACCGCATAGCCTGCTTACTTAAATAAATTTCCATTCTGTTCTGCAATATGTGAAAAGATTTTATTTTTTTTAGGGTGGTTTGGAATTCGCAAAGACTTTTGCCAGTTTCTGCTTGAAATTTTCCCATTCTTACGAGAATATGGAAATATTTCTTATGACCTTCATCATGAAGATAACGAGGAAACAGAAGAAACGCCGCTGCCCGAACCACCAAAAATTGCACCAATGTTTAGAAAAAAGACTGGAGTGGTCATTACACAGAGTCCCGGAAAATACGTGATTCCACCTCCCAAATTAAACATTGATATGCCAGATTAAGATGAGAGCTGCATATTAAACTTGAACTGGGAATCAGCAGACAAATGTATTTCATCTCATGCCTTGTCCGAATTACTTTAAAATAGATGTTGCTGAATCAGTGGCTTGGATTACACAAATCAGAGATCTTGAAGATAATCTGAGAGCTTTTCCAGAGATATGTGGTGGTCTAATTTTGTGAACCTTCCTACTGGGTTGGTTGCACGCTTGCCTGTATAGTATTTATATGAACATTTTAGCAGTGTAATATATTGTTTAAAAGTCTTGTCCTGTACAGTCTAAGTATTATCTAAAAGTATTTTTTTAAAAACCCTGTATGAAATGCCTATGCTATTCCAGGTGTCTTTTAGGTCCTAAATATACACTTGATTTCCATGTCTGTTTTAAATGCTTTTTTTTGGATGTCTTAGTAGAGCATCTCTTACTTCTCTTTCTGTTCAGCCACAATCATTGTCTTAACAACAGAGGCACAGGAGTGTTGCGCTTCTCAGGCAAGACTGGAAAGCTTTTTTCGGGTGGAAGTAGAACGTATAGCAACTTACAAGATGTTTCTGAGTTAGCTCTGTAAATTTTCATGTAAGCATTTCAACTTTTGCACTGGCTTGGGAGTTAAGTGTTGGTCTTGTTGCGTTTCCAGTTTCATGTTTTAATTCTTGAGCAGCATGTACACCATTCTCACATTAGACTGGCTGTTTAAGAAGCTGGTCCCTCTTGCATTGTGTGTGCAGTCCACGCTGGAAACGCAAGTTGTAGGTTTTACAGCTGTCAGTTAGCCAATACAAATATCACAGCTTGGTCTTCATTACCAACTTTGTAAGAGTGTTGGTGTGAATGATTAAACTTCAAGCTAGGAACTCATTGGTGTTGGTATAGCATTTTCTTGTTTGAAGAAAGACCTCCTTTGACAGACTGTCTTGGGCTTCCAGGTGCTTTAGAGAAATTTAGTCTTTGAAACCTATACTCCAGTAGCTTATAACAACAGGTCAGATACTCCCACATCCTTGCAGCTTCTCTTTGTGTTTAGGTGAACCCACAGTTTAGGTAGCTTAAATACCATGGATCAAGTTTCCTTAGAGGTAGCATGGGAGTAAGAGCAAAGAGTGTATGGACACTTCTGCATTTGTGAAAGGTGCACACCTGAGAAACTTCTAAGGTGTGGTACTTTCCTTCCTAATGCTGCACACCTCTCTCTTTTTCCCTGTAGACTAGCTACTGGCTGAAACCCAACACAGCACTGTCCAGCCACTGCATTTCAAATTACATTGCAGTTTTATTTACTTTTTGGCTTGAGTAAAAAAAAATAAAATAAATCTATAATCAAAAAGCAACAAGTGCTATTTACCACTTGCTGCTCTTTCATGTCGCTGGGAAACAGACGTTGCTCTCTGTCATGGCAGTGCAGTGTGGGTGTCATAGCGATGTTTGAGAATCTTCCCTTGGGCTTCCCAGTCAGTTGATCACTTCCTCTCAGCTGGTGGTCTGGCAGAACAGTCTAGCTGTTAGGGTTCAGCTGACTAATGTACTCAAACTGAGAAAAAAGACTTTAAAATGGAGCTTTCCTCATTGGAAACTTCAGGGATTCTGTACTGGCCAAGGGAGTTGATTCATCAGGCTTGACTACTTGTCTCCGTTCAGCATGTGACAAAAGTGCATCTGGTGGTGCTGCCTTTGGACCTCCTGACAGAAGAAAGGTTTTTACAAACTTCGACTGAGCAAGCCTGGTCAAAAAGAGAGCATCTGAATTCAGCCAAGGAGAGCTGTGGCAAAGGTGGTGCTTCTACATGTCCCAGCTTTCTGAAGAAGCTCTGGGACACTGCTGAAAGCCATCTGTTTGACTCCATTTGGTGGGGTGACAACGGACAGTGTGTACTGATTCATGAAGAATTGTTCGAAAAGGAAGTACTGGCAAGGAGAGGACGTCTGAGAATTTTTGAAAGTGAGACCATGAAAAGCTTTGCTCATCACCTCCATCTGTACAGATTCACCAGAAAGTTGTTGGATTTTCCAAAACCATGCTCGCGCAATGACTTGCTAGCAGAAGAAAGAGCTGGGAAGGTATGTTGGATCCTCTGTGTGCAAACTAACAGAATATTCCAGTGGGACAGATTTCTGTTCCAATGAAATAAGCCTCTATCTACTGTATCGGAGATATATTTTATCAGCATTTTTACTGCTCAGAAATACTATTGGTTATTTCCAATTACTTTGAACATGTAAAATGAAAATACATTCTCACTGTACTGGGATATTTTTTTGATATTTGCTACGTGCCTGGCTGTACCAGAGATGCAGTTTTCTTGTGGCGTTGCTGAAGGCTGAGGCGGTATGTGTCAGCATCATATAGTTACCTACATGTTCATTCCACGCTAAAGTTGCTGAAAAGTAATGGTATGTGAGTTTCTAAATCAGTTTGTATGCTTTTGAAAATCCTGCGCTTCTCTGCTACCAAGCAGCAAAAACACAAGGCTGGTGTCATGAATGGAATGTTTTAACACAGTTATGATTTAGCAGCAATTCAAGATTTATTAATGGTATGGAGTAAATCAAAGGTTAAATTTTAGCAATGCCTGATTAACCAATTTAAAGATTCACAAGACAATTCAGTAGGATGTGTTATAATTAAAACAGTGACTTAATTTACAGATTTGAAAATGACAAGATTCACACTAACTTACTACAAGGTATCCTAAAAAAAAAAAAAGTATAAAACATAAAGTGCACAGACAGAAATATTTGGATCCAGTGAAAGAGACACCTCCACACTTGTGAAGGCAAATGTATATAGTCAAACACATAGGCAGGTGGAGAGGGGGATGGAAGAGTCTAGCCTACAGGTAAAATTTCCCTCTGGAGTTTAAATACTGACAATGCATTGGCATTCCTCAACAGGCACTAACAGACTCAAGGAGGGACTTCGCCTCGCCCTGCCACCAGCTTTGTCAGCAGATGGTCTGAGGAGTTGGTACCTGAGAGGCGTCCCAGCTCAGAGGAGATGCTGGTCACAGCCCACTGCGATCCAGGAGAGCTCAAAGAGTCTCGCTTAAAATGGCGATTTATAGGGACAGAGATAATTGACTTTTGTCAGGTACTTTTCCCTTTTGGCCACAATTTCTGTTAGGTAATCTTTGGCAACTTCCAGGGTGGGCTGCAGTCCAGGCACAACGGGTTCCAGGTGTGTCGCCCAGGCTACAGGAGTTCCAGGCACAGTTAGGGAGTGCCTAACTGGCCCAACTCCCTGTGCTTGTGGTACTGGCAGCTTGAACTCACTGCTCCAGCAGATGAGACCAGAAAGTGCCAGGTGGGGCTGGCCCACTGCACTTGCAACTGAAACAGGAACAATGCCGGCTGGGGCTGGTGGCCTGGGGAGGTGTCTGCACCACCACAGCTGGTGACTATTGAACAGGACTGTGTCATGCTGTTTTATTCAGCCTAAACTTCAGGTTTAGAATGCCCCGATAGTCCTTTTTAATATCCACATTTCTCTCTTGCAATTAAAATTCTTAGTTCTTGTATCTTTGTGGTTTCCAGTCTCAAGGTGGCGGCAACTCACTCTTTTTCTTTGTATTTTTTAGTTTCACTTCTACTACAACCCAAATTTTAGAAGACATAGTCTGCATCTGCTAATGAAGTACATGCAAAGCTTTATTCCAAAAAATCAACCACCAGCAGGATTTTCACCGAAAGCAGATTTGCATGCACGCCACCGGAAAAGAAAACCAGACGTTGAGCTTGCATGGAAAACCACTGCCAAAGAGGAGAGCGGTCCACTCGCAGCATGTCTGAGGGAGAACAGGGAGACCGCCCCTGCCAAGCGATGTGCCAAGGCAGCTACCCACGTCGGACATGCCTCTACATCTGTGTGCACCGTTGCTCTGACAAATGTGGACCCTGTGGCAGCAGCAGGCAGGGAGAAGCACAGTGCTCTGGCCCCCTCCCTTCTGCCGCAGCACAGCTGCCTGGGCCCAGATGGCATCCAGGGTGCTGCTGCTGCTGCCACCACACCAGGTTGTGCTGGGCTGGCCGTGGCCAAGTCACTTTCCACCAGGGCTGGCACCTCCCAGCTCTCCAGCTGTGCTGGCAGCAGCTGCTGCTCTGTCTGTGCCAAGGCCACCTCAGGGCCAAGCTCCACCATACTGCCCTAGCCCAACTCTCACTTGTGGTCCAACCAGCAGAGCTGCAGGCAATGGCCTTGGACCCCAGCCATGCTAGGTACCTTTCACAGCTCTCGTAGTAGTTGTTAGTCCAAGGGAATAGACTCTCTAAAGCGTTCTAATAAACTACCTGAACACAAAGCCTCTGCCAGTTGTCCTGTCCTGTTTTTATAGCTATGCCTATGCCTGGCCTTGGGCCTTGCTCCAGAAAGCCAAAAGGATTTTCTTTGTAATGCAGAGTGTGAATTTTGAAAAACTCAAAGTACCAAAATGACTGACTTCCATTTGTTACTATTCACACTTGCCTTTAATTCAATATGGGATTTTCAAAGCTTACTGGGGTATGTAGTGATAGGACAAGGGGCAATGGCTTTAAACTGAAAGAGGGTCAGGTCACAGAGCCGTATCCTGCAGACTGCCTTCCCCCACCATACGCACATCTAACATACCAAACATGAGAATGAGGGAAAATCTGGTCCTTTCTGGAAGTTTCACATTTTTAGCACATAGCACACACCACACGCAGAAACCTTGTCCAGCAAATTGCTGCCTCTGCTGGAGAAGCCCCTAGGACTGGCCTTATCTCTGATGATTTCTTTCTCAATGATCCCACAAATGCAAGGCTTAGAGTGGGCTGAGAGACAGATGTCATGTTATTGATGGCAGCCTGTTTTCCAGCACTGTCTTCCTGAAGGGTCCTACAAACTCTTCTCATATAATCAGAGATGCATGTGCCATATAATATAGTTGTATTTACTCACATTTTAAATTGGCACACAATGCATCAAGCATGTCTTTAAAAAATTGCATTTACTTGGAAATAGTTATATAGGGAAAATCTAGTAAGCCATTAAAAAATTCCAGTAATGGTCATAAAAATTACATCTTGTTCCTTTTGTCTCAGAAGAGCGTGTCATAAATGTATTTGCTTTTTCAAACAATTAGTTTTGGAAAGGAATCCTGAACTGGTATTCAGGATGCTGAGTTGTGAATTACAAGTTTGCATTTGGGCAGGAAAAATAATAGTAAGGGGGAACACCTACGCTTCTGAAGGGATCAGTTCTTCGGGGATGTCCACCTGCCACACACCTTTTCCCCCTCTGGCAGGAATCGGTGCCAGGAGCCATCTTGGATTTGAAACAACAGTCAAGTATTTCTGTTCTAGATGACTGAGGACAGCTTTGTTTTCCAGCTCCAGAATCTTTTCAGGAGGCAAGTTTTCTGGATATAGTGATGTCTCCCCAATGTCAATTAATCCTGTATTACAAAATTAAAATACAAAATTAGTTGGCTGTTTGATCTTCTAGAGAAAAGTCTTCCACAAGTAAACCTCCCAGAGAACATACAAACCAGCTAATTTG